TTTCTCGCTCTCGCTCAGACGTGGGCAGCGGCACTGGGGCTGGCAGGGAAGTGGGTGCCACAAGTGGGCAGGGCCCCACCCTGTGACTCATCCCAGGGCAGGAACATACTTACTCCTCTGTACCTGGCTTCTCTGCACTTCCCCACGTCCACCCCCTTCCCTCCGCCATCTTGGTCCCAATGGGGGTGAGCCTTCCAAACACCATCGGCGCCGCTCTGTTTGCAGTCTCTAGGGCGCAAAGCTGGCTCCTGCCAGCTGTTGTCATTGCTCAACAGAGTCAGCCTTAGCAGGCTGCCTGTCTGTGCATGGGAAGGCTGTTGGCCTGTGCTGGAAAGGCTCTCCCCGACTTGGCCTGAGTTGGGGTGCATGGTTGGGGCATGCATTGTTTGTGGACAATGATCAGACACACAGATGAACACCATTTGCTGGGGAAGAGTCAACATGGCTTTTGTGAAGGGAAATCATGCCTCACTAATCTATTAGAATTCTTCCAGGGGGCCAACAAACGTGGACAAAAGTGATCCAGTGGATCTAGTGAACTTGGGCTTTCAGAAGGCCTTTACCAAGGTCCCTCACCAAAGACTCTCAAGCAAAGTGAGCAGTCATGGGATAAGAGGGAAGGTCCTCTCACAGGTCAGTAACAGGGTAAAAGATAGGAAACAAAGGGTAGGAATAAATGGTCAGTTTTCACAGTGAAGAGTAGATAGCAGGGTCCCCCAAGGATTAGTTCCAGGGCCGGTGCTGTTAGACACATTCATGTATGATCTGGAAAAAGAAATAAAGAGTGAGGTGGCAAAGTTAGCAAAGGATACAAGATAGTTAGGTCCAAAGCAGACTGTGAAGAGTTACGAAGGGATCTCACAGAACCGGGTGACTGGGCAACACAATGACAGATGAAATTCAGCATTGATCAGTGCAAAGTAATACACCTTGGAAAACAGAATTCCCACTCTACATATACGCTCATGGGGTCTAAATTAGCTGTTACCACTCAGAACAAAGAGATCTTGGAGTCATCGTGGATCGTTCTCTGAAAACATCCACTCAATGGGCAGCAGCCGTCAAAAAAGCAAACAGAATGTTAGGAACCATTAGGACAGGGATAGATAATAAGACAGGAAACATCATAATGTTGCTATATAAATCCAAAGTACACTTTAATATTACATGCAGTTCTGGTCGCCCCATCTCAAAGAAGATATTTTAGAAGAATTGGAAAAAGTACAGAGCAGGGCAACGAAAATGATGAGGGGTCTGGAACAGCTTCTGTCTGAGGTGAGATTAACAGGACGGGGACTGTTCATCTTAGAAAAGCAATGACCGTGGAGGGATCTGACAGAGGGCTATAAAGGCATGACTGGTGTGGAGAAAGGAAATAAGGACGTGTTATTTACCCCTTTGCATAACACAAGAACCAAGGTCACCCAATGAAATTAACAGGCAGCAGGTTTAAAACAAGCGAAAGGAAGTATTTCTTCACACAACACACAGTTAACCTGTGGAACTCCTTGCCGGGGGATGTTGTAAAGGCCAAAATTACAATGGGGTTCAAAAAAGATTGAGATCAGTTCACGGAGGATGGGTCCATCACTGGCTATTAGCCAAGATGGTCAGGGATGCAACCGTGGGTGTCCCTAAGCCTCTGATTGCCAGAAGCTGGGACTCGATGACAGGGGATGGATCACTGGATAATTGCCCCATTCTGTTCATTCCCTCTGAAGCACTTGGCACCGGCTGCTGTCAAAGAGAGGAAACTGGCCTAGATGGACCATTGGGCTGACCCAGTCTGGCTGTTCTTATGTTTGACAAATGGCGAAGCTTTTAACAATACGTAGGTTCTAGTGGCCTGGTTCATGTCTATGTTCAACACTGCCCTCTACTGGATGGGATGAGGATGGCAATTGTGTACCATAGCACCCGACTGCTTTCAGCTATTGGGGATTCTCCTTTAAGGGGTAGGAGCAAGCAGACCTGGGTTCTAGCCTTGCGGTCGCGGTGAAGTCGTGAGTGTGAGTCATGGTGTGTGTATACACACATACACCCCATTCACGGTATATCCCAACCCTCACCTCTTCTCCAAACTGAGGCTGTCATGCACTACACAGCGTGGCTAGGAACCCCCTGGGCACCCCTATTTTTCAGATCCCCCCAATCTGAATCATTCCCCTCCCCCATTCCCGTTGGGGTCCACAGAATGGTAAATATGCTCCTCCCCCACCCTGGCTGTCGTTTGAAAGCCTGACGAACCGGCTGCCTTCGAAGAATTCATCAGCCGGAGCAGGGTCGGCCCATGGCAGCCCTTGTCCCCGCCGCAGCTGTGTGATTCATCCGAGCTGGGATTTAGACTCGACAGCCCTATCGGCAGCACAGTCCTCTGAGTGAACGCCAGGCTGGGGACGGTGCCCGCTTCATTCTGAGAGCCAGGGCCACAGCACAGTGCCATTCCCCCGCCCGCCGCCATGGGGGCCTAAGCCCCAGCCTGGAGGGACCCCTCCTGCCCCACGAGCTCCATCACCGTGGCTCCTTGGATCCTGGGCCTTCCCACTGACCGAGGGGCCCGTTCAGCCAGCTGGGGCAGCCACGGGGACACGGTCTCCAGGCACAGGGCAGCCCACGCAGGCTGCCAGGCAGCAACGGCTTTCCCAGGTGGCTTCTGCACTGGGTGTCCCAGGAGCGAAATCCCCCCTCGCCACATGCTCGGTCGTGGGGCCTTCCCTCCATCCTCCCGACGTGACCCGTGTGTACACGCCTGGGCACACGTGCTCACACGCACAGCCATTGACTTCGTTCCCTCCAAGGCCCGGGACGTGGGATGCTATCTGCCGCTCCGCTCCGCTGCGCCCCACGCTCGCCACCCTGTGGGGGGAGGATTCTGGGGGCTGGCTGCAGCACCGGTCTGCATGGTCCTAGGGGCGAGCCGGAGCGCTGGGGGCTGCTTGAGCTGCTCCCGGCGTGAGCAGCTGGTTGGGTGCGGCTGCTGGAGGCTCTCCCAGGCTCTGTAGTAAAAGGGGGGGATGTATGACTAGAGAGGGGGGCAGAGCACACTGCTCCAGAGTCCAGCCCCCCGGCTCCAGGCTGGTGTGCTGCATTGAGGGCAGTGTGCAATCCGTGGAGGGAAGCACCGCCCGGGTCTCCATGCAGTGGGCCAGGAACTGCCAAGCAACTCTGCCACTAACTCACTGCGGGGCCTTGAGCAAGTCCCTTCTCCTCTCTCGGCCCCGCTGTCCCCAGCTGCAAAGCCAGGCCGCGGAGCAGGCCCCGGGCGGATTCGCGAAGGAGGGTAGCAGGGGAACGTGAGATGGAAACAGGTGCAGAGGCGGCATCAACTCCCCGCAGCGCTCGCACCTCCCGCCCACACGCCCGCTCAGCCGGCAGAGAAATGCTCGGCAGCCCACGAAGGGGAAATTCCAGCTGACGGGTTTGTGCCTCGCCGTGGGGTTCTGGGGCCTTCCGCCCTCCAGACTGGGCTCCTCTGTCTGCAGACAGCCCCAGCAGGGGTGCCAGGAGTCGAGTGTCCCAGGCCCGTTCAGTCCTTGGCCTCTTCTCCGAGCCTGGCTGGGAGGGGGTCCCTTGGTGCCGTCACATGGCTGCATCTTTTGACCACTGAACTGGTAGCCCAGGGGGCAAGGCTCTGGGCACCTGAGCCAACTGCTCCGGGCAGCACCGCTCACCTGACCAGACTGCAAGGGCTTTCTGGTGTAGTGAGTTTGCTGGGTCTCAGTCCAGTTCTCAGGTGGGACCCTTAAGCCCCCGGCACCAAGGCCAAGGGCTGGCTGGGGCCAGACTGAACTTGGGGGGGTACCTTTGCAGCACGCGTGTGCACACAGATCACGCCTGGGGGAGAAGGACGAGGGCGTAGAAAGGGCCGAACGGCTCAGAGGTGACTGGGGGGAGGAGTTCCCCTCCTGCTGCCCACTGTTTCTAGCGAACGTCTCCAGACCAGTGCTGCCCCCTCGCACCTGGCAGCCTGGCCTCAGTCCCAGAGAGCACCCGGCACCCACACGCCCGGAGAGCGCGGGCCTGGGCAGGCTCATGTGCGCAGAGCTGCCCGGGCAGGCTCCGGCGCACCCACAGATCGGCGCTGAGGGATGAGCAAGCAACGCGTACACACGGGGGCACCCGCAGGCACCCACCCGCAGAGATCCTCGCTGAGTCCCCCTCCGCTGACGCCCAGATGTTCACCTTGGCACCCCTTTGACACGCACTGAGATGGATTCCTCGCACGCGGGCTCACCCAGGAACCCCCCCACCAGCGCACAGACGGGGCCGGGCCCAGGACTCAGCTGCCCCCACGGCCCCCTCGAGTCAGGCCTGCCCACAGCCAGAGGCCACCGCGTGCTGCCAGGCAGCCTGTGGGCGTGTGAGCACGAGCACACCCGGCGTGACTTGTGTGCACAAATCGAGACCCCCCCCCGCACACACACTCAGGGGCACAAGCAGGCCTGGCCAAGTCGGCAGCCGGGCTCACACCCCTGAATAACCTGCCCAGGGCGCGGGTGGAATCTCCGTCCCTGGAGGTTTTTAAGGGCAGGTTGGACAAACACCTGCCAGGGACAGTCTGGATAATCCTTCATCCATGAGCACCGGGGCTGGACTCAGCCCCTCGGGGGCCGTCCAGTCCCACGACCTGGGGACTCCGATGTGACCTCGCGCCCACCCAAAGGTGGCCAGGGGCAGCGCTGAAGTCAGAGCTGCTTGCACCACCCCTGAATTTGGCCCCTAAGCCTCCCCCTGCGGTTCAAGGCCAAGGCGATCCCTTCCCAGAGGGTGGCTCCCAGAAAAGCCCTGCTGGCAACTGGCCAGCCCCAGACCCCCGGCGCAGGGGCCGGATTCTTGCTTTAATTAACCCCTGGCAGGAAATGGGGGGGGGGCGCTGGGGGCCCAGGTGACTCTCCGGGGTTTGTTCTCACTGCAGATTGGTGCAGCGCGCCGCTGTCCCTTTAAGTGTGTCCCCCCCCCCGGGGCTCGCTCAAATTGGCGGGGGCAGGAGGCTGCGGGCGGGGGGCAACTGGGTTCTGCGGAGGCTCTGGGCAGGGGCGTCGCAAACCGGCTGCAGCGCGGGGCCCGGCACGGCACCGCACGGCACGGCACCGCACGGCACCCTGCGGGGTCTGTGCGCCCCGGAGCGCCCCGCTTCGCTGCCGGCGCCGGGAGGGGAGCGGCCGCAGGAGGAAGGTGCGGGGGCCCGGGAGGGGAGGCGCCGGGGCGGGCTGTGATGTCAGCGGGGCTGGGCTCGGGCGGGCGGCGCCCCAGGCTCGCCCCGCGCTGCCGAGCTCCGGACAAGGTAGGGCGCGCCCCGGGGGAAGGAGCTGCCGGGCGCCCGGGACCCCCGCGACCCCCGCCCGGCTCCGCGGCCCCCGGCGCTGGGGAGGGGCAAAGAAACTGCGGCGTCCCGGGGGATCCCGGCGCTTCCGCGGCTTCCTCGTCCCGCAGCGCCGGGGGAGGAGGAGCCGGGGTCTGGCCGCGTCCCGGGCCGCTTTGCCCCGGGTCCGGCCGCTCCCCGCCCGGGCGATTGACCTGGGTGCCCGGGGGGTCTCTGGGGCGTGACCCCGCGCCCTGCAGTGCCAGGCGCTGGGCACAGGAACAGGAGCTGCCCCGGGGGCCAGGCGCTGGGCAGGGGAAGGGGCTTCTCTGGGCCCCTGGTTGGCCCCAATGTGACCCTCTGGGCTGAGCTGCTTCAAGCCATCCTGGCCCCGGTGGGGCTGCCGGGATGGGGAGGGCCGCGTGTCTGGGCTTTTGCACCCATTCAGAGAGTGTGTGGCCAGTAGGGATCCTGCACTCGCGCTCCGGCCTGGCCAGGGCCAGAGGGTTCCCCCATTCCCCCTGGACTGTAGGTTTATAACCCGCGGGATGGCCCCTGCCCCAAGGAATCTGCCATCCCGAGCCCCCGCCTGGCGGGCAGCGCCATGCCCAGGTTTGCAGAGTGCTCGCCACATCTGCCATGGCTTCTCCTGCCCGGTAGAAAGGGGCCAGGACTGTGCCAGCTTTCCCCACCCACCCCCCTAAGCCGCCACGAAGGAGCCATTGCCATGCAGGGGGGGCTGCAGGGAAGGGAAGGGAAGGGGCCGAGCAGGAGGAGGCTTTGGGGTGTTTGGCTGAGGGTGGCACAGTGGGCCAGGCAGGGGGCAGTGTAGCGAGGGGCAGAGGTTTGACCAGGGGGAACAGCGAGGCAGGGCAGAGGGGGAGACCCCTGCCTGAGGTGATGGGCCAGACTTTCCAGCCAGCAAAGCACCCGGTGGAACACCCCCAACCCAAATCCGGTGCCTACTGGCTGCTCCGCTCTGGCTCCAGGCGCAGCTGGTGAATCTGACCCCCAAGGGCTAATCCAGCTGGGATCAAACCTCCATCCTGGGACCTCTGGCTCTGCTAAATCAAGAAGCCAGCTGAATGGCCCTTGCAGGGGGAGCCAGCGGGACTGGGCCTGGTGCTCGGTGGCATGGGGGAGCGCTGAAGGTGGGGGAACACTAATGGATCGGCTCCCTGTGGCCTGGATTTTTTTAGGGGTTCAGCCTCCCATGGGATTTCGGAGGCAGGTTTCTGTGTGTGATGCACTGGCCCAGGCGAAAACCACCTCCCAGGCCTCAAGTAACAAAGGCAATGCCAGCTTGTTTAACTTTTATATATGTAAAAAAACCAACCCTTCCTGGGCCAGGCTGGGGCTTCGTCCGGTCCGGCTCCCTCGCCGCCAGGGCAGAAATCACCCCGAGTGCATCATGACTGGACCGCCAGTGTGGGCACCTTCCTTCAGTGCTGGGAAGGCTGAGTCAGTCCATGGGAAATGGAACCCAGGAGTCCTGGCGCCCAGTCCTACCCGCCCCTCGGTTGGCTGACCCTCGGGGCGAGTTTCATGTTCTGTTTGGATTTGACGCTGTTTTTCCTGGAGCCTGGAACAATTCATTGGGAGAAACCAGCACTGCAGGTGTGCGGGCTGGCTGGGCCGGGTTTGTCCTGCCCCCAGCAATTCTCCTTAGACGGGAGAGGCACCGTGCAGCTGTGTTCACCCAGCTCCAGCCATGTGCCAAAGAACACGTTTACCCAAGAGCTCGAGCGGGCACTCCTGGGTAAATAACGCGCGGCGGGGGGGGGTTACAATCTGCCGCCAGAGTGATTGTTAATTAAGGAGAACAAACTAACTTCCTGCCAAGGTCTGAGCGGTGGCCAAACAATAACGTGCGATTTCCTAGCGCCTTTCCTCCCCCAGCACTGGCTATAGACGGGTTGTCTTCTGCCATGGAGATGCAGCCACCTCTGGGGTGGGGCGCAGCAGCTGCTTGGACAGTGCCCAGCAGAGAGGTGGTTTGCGGTCTGAGGGCAATGCCAGCACCATGCAGAGGGAAGAGTGCCCCCATTGGGCCGCCAGCCCCACTTCCGGCAGCTCCTGGCTGTTTCTTGGCCCTCCCAGCTCAGGAGGCCAAGCGGGGGGGGGGGACCCAAGACTGGGTGGAAACTCCCCCCCCCCACATGCTCATCCCTTCTATGGGTCAGGTGGGGGGACGGGGCAGCAGGGGATCAGGCTTGTTGGATCCCTCTGACTGGCGAGGCAGGCGGGAGGGGGTGCAGGGTCCAGCTGACTTAACCCCTTCATGGGGGTTGCAGCCTAGAGTGGCCCATTGCTCTGGGGGTGGGGGAGGCCGATCAGGCTTCGCTGTGAAGTGAGGCGGGAGGCGCGTTTGCAGAGGGATGAACGCCCCCATTGATGAAACAAGAGTCTACCTTAGTCAAGGGGCCGGGTGTCATGAGTTTGGTGGGGGCTCGGGCCAGGGAGCCACATCCCCTGCACTGGCAGCCTGAGGAGAGGGGCCGAGTGGGCCGCGGAGACCCTGGACTAGCCTCCCTGTGAGGCTGGTCCCGGGGCGGGGGAGAGCCATATTCACCGCTGGCAGTGGGGGCGTCTCGGTGGTGCTCAGCTTGTGGCTGCGTGAAAGGGCCTCCCCACACCCTTCCCCAGCCAGCGTGGAGCTGGGATCAGGGCTCTTGACCCCGCCCTGGAAACTCTGCGAGTCACTTAGAGCTGCCTTGGGGCTGCTGTAACCCCTGCGGGAGGCAGGCCAGGCCCTAGGCTTTGGGGAGTGCAGTGAGTGAGGGCTTTGCCCTGCCCCTGCCTAGGAACAAGGTCCCCCAGAGTCAGACACCAGGGTGATGGGCCCAGCACCAGCAGAAGCTCCGAAGGCTCTGGCCCCGGGTGCTGGCCCTGCAGGCGCCAGGGCAGGAGCATTTCCTTAATTCAAGCCTGCTGGTTCTACAGGCCTGAACTCAATGGGAACGCAGGGTGTTGGCCTGACAAGGGCAGGGAGTAACCGGCTCCTGGTTCCTTTGCTCTGCGGCGTTTGGATCTGGCTGGGGGCTGCGTCCGAGTCGATGGCTGGGCTGGTGGAGAAGCCGGGGAGATAGCTGCCAGGTGGAGGAGTTCAGACCCTCTTTCGCTTGGCTCAGCTGTTCCAGGAGGGGTTGGGGCAGCTGCCTTGTGTCCAGTGAGAGTGAGTTAAAATGGAGAGTTCCTGCCCTGGAGTCCTGGCACCGAGCCCCCTCCCCGGCATTAGCCCCCACTCACCTCCCAGAGCTGGGGATAGAACCCAGGAGCCCTGGCTCCCAGCCGCCCTCGAGCTCAACCGCCTTCTCTGAAGCTTCTCCTTGTGCTGTCCCTTTAAGACTAGCCTGAGGGGGGACAACCTGACCTGACCCCCATCAGTCAGGTGGGGGCTGGCAGCTCAGCTGGAGCATGGGTGGGACCAGCCAACCCTCAGGCTCCTGGCAGTGGGGCCAGGCTGCCCCTGCCTGCCTGGGAAGTCCCATGCCCGTCTGGGACAAGTAGGGCTAAGCAGAGTGGGGGAGACGGCTGGATGTGAGGGGGGTTGTTCTATGGGCCTGGGGCTAGTCCCAGAGCAGGACACTGAGCCATTCCCTTGAAATTCCCACCCCTCCTGCACGGCTGGTCGGCCCCCTGCTGAGTCCTGGACCATCCCCCTAGCCCAGTGCAGGCTTCACCCCCCACCATTCCCCCCCCCAGCTCGGCTTCCCCAGCGCACCAATAGTCAGTAAGTCAGGGAGGTTGGATCCCATTAGGGGTTTAGCCATGAATCCCAGAGGGGGTGGGCGGGGAGCCTGCCAGCCTGGGCCAGCACCCCAGCGTTCCCACCCCCTGCCTCTGGCCAGCACTGGCTGGCAGGGAGCGCGGGCTGCTCCATGCGTTGGCACTGAACCAGGGAGCGTGGGCTCAGCTGGGCCGGGGTGGGGGTTGGGGGGCAGGATGTGATGCTCTGAAGAGGGGCAGGCCCAGAGTGGGAGTCGAGACATCTGGGTTCTGCTCTGGGTGCTTATAGGCAAGTCCCTGCCCCTCTCTGCCTCAGTTTCCCCATCTGGAAAGCAGGGACGATTCTGGGGAGGCTGTGAGGCTAAACTAACGACTCATGTTTACCAAGCACTTTGGGACCAGGACTAGGGGGCACCAGCAGAGCTGACGGGGGAAGCCCAGGGCTGGCCTAGCAGGGGGCTGCCGGTCAGGGTTGCTAAGAAAGGGCATTTCTCCCCCCAAACACCCTCGGCCGTGCACTCGCTTGCCTTGTGCAGCTCCCAGGTGCCGTGGCGCTTGCTGGGGGTGGGGAGCTAGAAGCACGTGGCAAGGGTGAGATGTGGTAGCGGGGGGAGCTGCCGCCCCATGCGAAGGGGGGGCGGGGTGGGGCTGTTGGCACGCCAGCCACCTTGCCAGAAATCGGCCAGTTGGTGTCTGTCGGCAACACGAGTGTGAAATCTCCTCCATCCCGCTGGGATAAACTGTGCCCCCCCATGAGGAGTGATGGGGCTGGGCCTGGCATGGGCTGGCGAGGGGGGGGCCCCTGGTGTCCCAGGGAAGGAAGCAGCTATTTGAGCCCCCCCCTCCCCAGCCGCTGCCCCACCCATGACAAAGGATCGTGGGGAGGGGCTTTTCCTGGGATCGCCTGGTCCCCGGCTTGTGGCTAGGGTGCCGAGGGGTGTCTGCCACCCGGGGTCGCTGGGAGCCAGGGGCTGAGGGGGACTGGCTGGACCGTTGGTTGGGGGGCTGCTGGCACAGCAGTGTGGGTCCCTGGTGTCCCCTCTCTTCTCCCTGGCCTGAGCCCGCGCGTGTGGCCAATTGCTGTCCCAGGAGTGGAGTCAGTCCTGCCGGGGGCCAGGCAGAGCCAGGCTGGGTCAGAGCCGAGGATTCTCCGCGTCGTGTGCTGGGCCTGGCCAGACAATGGGGGCAGCAGGGCCGGGGCCCCTGCTCGGCCGTCCCCTGGGGATCACGGTGTTAAGCTTTGGCCTCCAACCCCAAACGGCGTCTCCCGGCATCTGGTTTCCATTTGCCGTGCTCGGCTGGTGGAGCCAGGGGCAGGCAGGGCTGAGCTAAATTTAGCGCTGCTGATGGAGCTAGCAGGACTCAGTAACCTCAGGATCACTGGGATGTGTCCAGGGCGGAGTCGGTGCCCTTCCCCCTGGCCTGGGGTGCCAGCCCTCCTCCGAACGGCTCAGGGAGAGCAGCGGGGATGGGAGCCAAGACTCCCAGGTCCTGTTTCTAGTTCTGGGATGGGAGTGGGGTCTAGTGGTTAGAGCAGGGGAGCTGGGAGCCAGGACTCCTGGGTTCTTTTCTCAGTAGTGCTGCTGGCTCACAGTGTGTTGTGACCACTGTGCCTCAGTTTCCCTTCTATAAAGGGCAGGGGAGCAGGATCCTATCAGGGGCTGTAAGCACATCCGACAGGTGCTAGAGAAGGTTCATGGCACCATTAACAACAGGGTTTTATTAGCTTTGCCGCTAAGTTTGTTCAATCAGATGCAGCGCCCGGCCCCTCCCTGGCACTGGGTGCACCCCTCACCCTGGCTGTGGCTGCATCTGCCTTCCCTGCTCTGATTGATGCTGGGCTCAAAGCCCACAGTTTCCTCCCCACCCCTGTGTGATTACCCTGTGGAAGTCGCTGCTGCAGGATCTTCTGGGAGCAAAGGGGGAAGTGAGTTGACAGAAAGGCCAGGCCCACTGTAGGAGCGAGGCTGGAATTCTCCCAGGGAGCTAGCAATCCTCATGCTCCAGGGCCCAGCCTGGTCCCCAGCTGGGGTCAGGCAGGAATTTCCCTCTGGTCACAAGTGGCTGCCTTGCACAGCTCAGCTGCACCATCCCTTGACTGGGCTCTGTCTTTGAGGCCTGATCGGGCTGGGGGGTGTCAGCTGCTGCCAATCAGAGGTGAGGGTGAAGCTGAGGACCTGCTAAACTCACCCCCTGGGGGTGGCATCGACAGCAGCCTCCTTTAGAGGCATAGGGAAGCCCCATCATATCCCATAGCCCCCACCCCTCGGTGTGCAGCGGGGCCAACTCAGTGCCCCACTTCCCCGCAGGGCTGGGAGCTGCCAGGGGGTCGGTCCCGTGGGGTGGGGTGGAACGGCCCCTGAGCCAGAGCAGGGATGCAGGGGGCTGGCAGGGATGCAGGGGGCTGTTAAATTGACTCCCCTGGGGGTTGTGGGGAGCGGGCTCCCAGCAAGACTCCCATTCAGCCAGGGGTGGGCGGGTAGCTAGCCAGGCCCCTGGGATCTCTGCAGCCATGGCGCGGGTGCCAGGAGCCGTTTGCCTGAGCCACATTTCATGCCAGCACTCTCTGTTTCTTGCCTCCCCCTTTCCTTCCTGCCCCCCCTCGCCGGGGGGGGTCCCTGGGGGCGGGCACTGAGCAAAGCTGTGTTCGAATCCCAACCCCCTGCATGAAAGTGGGGGGGTGCTGAGCAGCTGCCTGCTCCCCATGGCTGGGCATGTACCTAGGCGGTGGGGGGCTGTGTGCAGGGCATGTGCATGGCTGGGCAGACCACGGGGGGGTGAGGTTTGTGTAGGGTGAGGGTGGTGTGCATGGGTGTCGGGGCGGGGGGTATGTTGGGGGAGGTGGCACCGGTGCCCTGCCCCCACCCCTGGAGCCCCGGCTCGCCCTGTCCCAGCGGTTTGTTCCTCGCCCCGGGACAGCCCCATGTTTACCCTGAGAGGGAGTCATTTCTTGATGGGGGGATCCCTGTGGGCACCCCCCCTACCCGCAATGCTCTAAAAATGGATCCACCGAAAGCAGAAGTCGTTCGTTAAGGGGCTTGGACTGGCTTTGTCATCTCCTCCCGCACTGGCCGCACCCGGAGCCAGCACAACAGGGGGGGGAGGAGGGGGACTCCTGGCCCTGCTGCCAGGCAGGGGCTGAATTGGGGGTTGGTTAGTCACATGTCTGGGATGAAAGGGGGCGGCTGGGAATTAGGCAAAATCAGAGCCCCCGCCCCCCGATTCAGGGCCTTGTTGCGAACAGAACAGGGGGTGGTGCCAGTCGGGGTACAAGAAGGTTGGCAGAGCTAACCACTGGCCCCCAATCCCCTCCCAGAGCTGGGGATAGAACCCAGGAGTCCTGCTCCTGGCCCTCCTTCATTTTCATTGTTCTGCGTGTTAGCCCCTCTGCTCATATTAGCTCAGCCTGGGGTCCCCCTCTCCCTAGCCAGTGCCCCCAGTTTTGCACCTTTCTCCAGCAGCTCGGCCGGTGCCCCTCACTCCCGACTCACAGCCCCTTGCTAGCCCGGCCCTGGGCTCCCCCTCCAGCCGCGCTAGTAGCCCCCAGCCCAACCTGGCTAAGGGGGTGAGTTACCGCCCCAGCTTCTCCTTGTGATGTCTTCACAAATGGTTGTATTGAGGGACTGATTTACTCTTGTTCTATAGCCCCTGTCATCCTGAAGGGCCACTTTTGGGGCAGGCCAGGGCTGGGAGAGCAGGGGCTGTGGGTCAGGATTGAGGGGCACCGACAGAGCTTGGGGGGACCCAGGGCTGGGAGAGCAGGGGCTGCGGGTTGGGATTGAGGGGCACCATCCAAGCCGCTCTCGCATCTCAGACTTGCTGTCCGGGCTGCGAGGGGGCTGGCGTCCAGGGGGGCCGTGCTTGGTATGAGCCCCATTAGTGTTAATGGGAACGGCACGTCCTGTCCTCTCCCTGCCCCACAGAGACCTTGGAGCACTTCGCGCAGCCCGGCAGCTCCCAGGTGTGCGCCGAGATCTGGATTAATGTGAATAAATCATCGTAGTAATGGAGTGAGCTGAGGGCTTTGGCGGGCAGCGGATACTGGGAAAATACTGCCGCCGGGGAAGGAAACAGGGGGGCAGACATGCGATTCCAGCCCGGGAGCAGGGGGCCCCTGGCGTGAACAACCCCTCGCTCCCACTGGGCGGGCGGATCTCAAAGCACTCAGTGCTTTATTATCCCCTGGTGGGGAAACTGAGGCACAGAGTGGGGAAGTCAGTGGAGAGTCTGCGACATGGCTAGGAATGGGACCCAGGCATCCTGCACTAAACCATTAGACCGCACGTCCCTGAGCTGGATGCAGTGGGGGCACAATACTAGTCAAGATCTGGGGGGTGGGGCTGGCGCAGTGGCCCCTCCCCCATGCTGCTCACCCCCCCTTCCCCCCCCCGGCACTGCTGTTGCTCTTGGACCCCAGCCGGTCCATACGCAGTTTGCAGCCCGCTCTGCCTAGCGCCCCAAGCCCCAGCCTATGCTGAGAGGAGCTTGGCCTGTTGCCAAGACCCACCTCTTTCCCGCCACCCCCCGTTCATGTCTCTGAATCAGACGATCTCCCCCCCCATCCCCAATTCACAGCGGCAATTGGAGAAACAGGAACCTCCCCCTCCCCGCCCCCCAGCCATGACTTGGCACCATTAAATATTTAGCAGTGCCGGCAAAGTGGCCGCCTGCGGAGAGGTATAAAGCACTGGAACCAGCTGCCCATCGCTACCAGCTCCGTGCCAGGCTGCTGGGGCACGGGCCAGCCCATGCGCCTCCCAAGTGTCCCGCTCCGGACCCCCGCAGCGCTGGCAGGGGTGTCTGCGCTGGCAATGGGGCTGTTCTGGGGCAAATGGTGCCCCTGTCTGTCGGCCGGCGGCCAGCCCACCCCAGTCGGTAATTGGGTAATATCCCTTTAAGAGCCCCTGGCGCTGGGGGTCTCAGTGGTGGGTCCAGAAGAGGCAGATAAGGACATAGAGCGGTGGTGGCCCCACTCCCACCCCCGACTGCCGTGGGTGCCAGCCCGGCCTCCTCTGCTGGGCTCCAGCCGCCCCAGAGCAGGGCCCCCCCCCGGGTTGGGATACCAGGGGAGGTTTGGGGGGCGCCAGGGGCTTGGCTGGCATTGCCTGGGGGCTGCGGTTGGTGCTTGGCTCCGCCGGGGAATGTGCTGGCTCAGCTAATCCGGGAGGGGCGCTGCCCGGGGACACCCCCCCTCGGTCGCTCTCGCCAGCACCTCGCCCGGGTCCGTCGCGCTCTGCATCCTCACTCCCCTGTTGGCTCCTTTTGTCTCTTCCCCCCACCCAGTCACCCCCCTGGGAGTCTGTTTCTAACTGCCCCCCCCCCGGCAGCCGCGGCCCAGAGGCCCCAGAACGTCATGTCGGAGAGCAAGGATTGGGCCACCCTGAGCCCCGAGGAGTTCGCCCACCTGCAGAAGTACATTGACTGTGAGTAACCAGCCCCCCCCACAGCCCTGCCCCCCCCACAGCCCCACTGGGGCACGTGCCCAGCCCCTTGGGGACAACCCTGCCCTCAGAATGGTCCCACTGCCCCGGGGGTGGGGGGCTGCGGTAGGGAATCCCTGTGGGAACAGCCTGTGGCCCCCAGGGCATCGGGGCCCCAGGGAAAAGGGCCCCCCTGCCCTGTAACCAGTGAGCGCCACCCCCACAGACCCGCTAGTCCGGGCTCCGCCTAGGGTGCGGGGCCGGTGGGGAGAGTCGCCACGGCTCTGGCAGGAGCAGGATCGGGCCCCAGGCGGGGGGGATGCAGCTCAGCTGGGCAGCTCCCTTCACCCAGCCATGCCAGCGTTAACCCCACCCACACCCCGCTGCGCGCTGGGGGGTTGGCCCCACTGGGACCCCCGCATCAGGTTCCGCAGTGCGGGTGGGGTCCCCTCTTTTGGGGATTTGCCCTGATACCAACGCTCCAGGCCTGCAGGTGGGGCCCATTTTCTGCCGGGGGGGAGGGCTGACCTGGCCCCCCGTCACAGACTCACAGGTCGTGCTCCATAAGGCTAGGAAGCTTGGGGTGGCGGGGAGGGCGGTAGAGTGGCTGGATTTGCCCCCAGAGCAGGGCGGGGGCCACGGTGGCAGAACTGCAGCTCTCCCCCCCGCCCCCCCCCCAGCAGGGGAGGGCTTGGCCTCGGGTCTGGGCAGTGTCTGCTCCAGGCCAGGGCTGCTCCCCACTCCCAGCTGGGGGGGACCCTGGGATCGTGACTCTCCCCATCTCTCCCCCCCCAGACAGCAGCAAGAAGGTCCAGGACGTTCTCCAGGAGTTCTACGGAGATGGCACCTTGGTGCAGCACCTGCAGGGAGACGTGAGTCCGCCCTGATGCCCCCCGTGCCCCACGGGGGTGGCCCAGTCTGTCCCTGGAGCCGCTCTGCTCTGAGCCGGGCCGGCCCCCTCCCTCCAGCTTGGAAGCGCTGAGCAGAGGCCTCCCCAGGCCCAGGATGCCCCCTAACTGCCCCCCCCTCTGCTGCCTCCCCCCAGTCCATCGACTTCGAAGGTTTCAAGCTGTTCATGAGGAGCTACCTGGAGGCCGAGGAGATCTCGGACGCGCTCTGCCAACACCTCTTCCTGTCCTTCCAGACCTCGCCTGGGAGGGCCCCGGGGGAGCAGCCGGGCCTCGGGGAGCAGCCAGGTAAGGGCACGCACCGGCCCCGCCTGCTCTGTCAGCCTGGCAGAGCCGGAGGACAGTCCCCATCAGATGCCGACTGTACGGGGTATATGACACACAGCGGAGCAGTTCTGATCCCAGGCAGTGGGGGGCAGTCACTAGCTAGCTTGCTGCAGTGGCCAGAGCTGGACTGATGATGGGGGGGGGGGCAACATGGGGCACAGGCTGCCTGGGGCTAGGGGACTGCAGCTCATACTGGGCGGGGGGCTGCAGAGGGTCCCCCATTTCCCGTTGCTGCTTACCACTTCCCGCCCCCTCCCACCCCTGCTGGCAGCTGAAGCTGAGGAGTGAATGGGCCTTGGGGCCTGATCTCCTGGGTCCCTGCTGTGTGGGGCAGGAGGGCTGCAGGATCCAGTGCGGGCTCTGTCTCTTTGCAGCCAGCGGCCTGGTCTGTGTCAACGACGTCTCCTGCTACTTCTCGCTGCTGGAGGGAGGGCGCCCCGAGGACAAGCTGGAGTGTGAGTCTGGGGGTGGGAACGGTGGGGGGGGGCTGTCCCCCCGCCCCAGCCCCATGGAGAGGTAACAAGGTCAGGGCAGCTCTCGGGCTCAGACCTGAGTTGGGTTCCTAATGGGGCAAGGGTTGGGGGGGGGAGCCACAGCGGGGGGTGTCACAGGGTCCCCGGGCGATGCTCGGGAACTGCTCCCCATGAAGCCAGGCAGGACTCTGGGGAAGTCTCCTCTCGGGGAGCAGCCTGTCTGCAGGACACACAGCTCCCCCGGCTCCACCTTCCTGGGTCTGACCCCGGAGCCTTCACCTCCTCTGCCCCTCCGTGCGCTTCCCACAGCCAGTCCGCCCAGGCGGGGTCCTGGGGGGGGCAGAGGGTCCTACCCCCCCAACTCCGCAGTCAGACGGGACTCTCAGCCAGCCAGTAAAGCAGAGGTTTATTAGACGACAGGAACATGGCCTAACACGGAGCTTGTAGGTGCAGAGAACAGGACCCCTCAGCCGGGTCCATTTTGGGGGGGGCCGTGAGCCAGACAACCACGTCTGCACTTCACTCCTCGTCCCCGCCAGCCCCAAACTGCCTCCCCCTCCAGCCCCCCCTCCTCTGGGCTTTGTCCCTGTCCCGGGCCAGGAGGTCACCGGATTCCTTTGTTCTCCAACCCTTTAGCTCTCACCTTGCAGGGGGGAAGGGCCCAGGTCATCAGGTGCCAGGAAACAGGGTGTCGGCCATTCTCTGTGTCCAGACCCCTGCACACACCTGCCCTCTAGGGCTCTGCAATGATCATACACCCTTACCCTCCCCCCAGAGACTTAAGAACTGCATAGGGGAAACTGAGGCACCCCCATACTATTCAGAGGAAACATTAAGAACAGTCCCACTTCGTCACAGGGGGCTCGTGGGAGACCTTTGGGGTTAGAGGTCTTTCCCCAGAGGGGTGGAGGCTGACAGGCTGTGCTAGGATGTGGGTTGGATGGGGGCTGGCATAGGGTGGGGGGGCCATGGAGGTCTGGGCCTGGCTGGGGTCCCCCCACTGACTCTGCTTTCTCCCCCCCCCCCCAGTCACCTTTAAGCTCTATGATAAGGATGGGAACGGCCTGCTGGACAGCTCGGTGAGTGCTGGGGGGGGACCACAGCCCCCCATTACTGTCCCCTTCACCCTAGTGCCCCCCACTGCCCGCTCTGAGCACCTGGGTCCTGCAGAACCCGCCACACTGCGCCTGGCAGAGGCTGGGAGCAGCCCCCCCATCTCTATGCCCCCGCTGGGTCCGGCCCTGCAGCAAAGGGAGGCCTCTGCGCCCCCACCCCCAGGGATCCACAGGTGCTTCCAGCCTCAGGGCTGAGCAAGGGGTCCATCCCCAGTGCCCCATCCCTGGGGGGCTGTCTCCCCCCCACATGGGCCAGTACTGACCCACTCTGCCCCCCCCCGGGCTGGTTACTGACCCGTTCTACCAGCCCTGCCCCCCCCCCATGGGCCAGTACTGACCCACTCTGCCCCCCCCTGGGCCGATTACTGACCCGTTCTGCCAGCCCTGCCCCCCCCCATGGGCCGGTACTGATCCGCTCTCTTCTCCCCGCTCCGGGCCCCCCAGGAGGTGGATCGGATCATCACCCAGATGATGCGAGTGGCCGAGTACCTGGACTGGGACGTCACGGAGCTCAAACCTGTGAGTACCGGGCTGGGGCCGTGGGGTGCGTGGGGCTGCCCTGGCCCTGCCCCCTCTTGCCTGGGGGGGCACCAGCCCATGGGCACTGCAGGGGACAGTGTGTGCTGGGGGGGCTGCCCTGAGCCCGTAGGGAGGGAGGGGGTGCAGGGCTGGGGGTGAAGCGGCTGCAGATGGGGAGTCCCGTGCCCCGGCCATGAAGAGTGGGGGGGAGATGGGGCCCTTGGAGGGGGTGCTGTTGGGTGGGGGCTCACCCAGCCCCTCTGGAGCCCCTGAGCCATGTCCCTGCCCCCCCCCCCCAGATCCTGCAGGAGATGATGAGGGAGATCGACTACGATGACAGCGGGACGGTGTCGCTGGCCGAGTGGCTGCGTGGGGGGGTCACCACCATCCCCCTCCTGGTGCTGCTGGGCCTGGAAGTGGTGAGTCCCGGGGGGGCGACACAGAGAGGGGCGACCCCTGGGGGGTCAGGGGGGCCCCAGGGGGGCAAGGGGGGCAATCCCTGGGGGTGGCAGAAATGCTCTGAGCCGTGTGGGAATTCGACCCCCTCCAACAATGGGGATCCCCATTAGGCAAGGTGGAAAGCAGCCAGGGGCATGACGGGCGGGGCCGGGGCGGGAAGCTCCCTACCCCCACCCCGATCCTTCCTGTGGGCCTGGGACCCCCCACGAGCCCTGATTTTCCCCCCGCCCCTGGCCCAACCAGTGGTAACCGCGAGTGGGTAACGGCCCACAGGTGAGCCCCACGCCCCGCGGGGAGAAGCGAGTGAGCTCTGTGTACCCCAGCCCCGCCCCGCTGACTCCCGCCCCAGCCCCCCAGGGTCCCCCCCGGACTCTCTCTCGTCTCTCCCCGCAGAACATGAAGGACGACGGGCAGCACATGTGGTGTCTGAAGCACTTTAACCGGCCCGTCTACTGCACCGTCTGCGAGACCCTGCTGCTCGGCCTGCGCAAGCAGGGCCTGGCCTGCACCTGTGAGTGCCCCGGCCCCCCCCCGCCGGCCCCCTCCCTCTGCCCCCCCCCCCCGACACGGGCCCTCCCCCCGGCCGGCCCCCTCCCTCTGCCCCCCCCGACACGGGCACGGCCCCCCCCCCCGACACGGGCCCCCCCCCCGCCGGCCCCCTCCCTCTGCCCCCCCGACACGGGCCGGCCCCCCCCCCCGACATGGGCCCTCCCCCCCGCCCCCTCCCTCTGCCCCCCCTCGACACGGGCACGGCCCCCCCCCCGACACGGGCCCCCCCCCCGCCGGCCCCCTCTCTCTGCCCCCCCTCGACACGGGCACGGGCCCCCCCCCCCCGGCCCCCTCCCTCTGCCCCCCCCGACACGGGCACGGGCCCTCCCCCCGGCCGGCCCCCTCCCTCTGCCCCCCCCGACACGGGCACGGGCCCTCCCCCCGGCCGGCCCCCTCCCTCTGCCCCCCCCGACACGGGCACGGGCCCTCCCCCGGCCGGCCCCCTCCCTCTGCCCCCCCCCCCACGGGCACGGGCCCTCCCCCGGCCGGCCCCCTCCCTCTGCCCCCCCGACACGGGCCCTCCCCCCCCCCCCCCCCTCTCCCCCCCCACGGGCCGCCCCCCCCCGAATGGGCCCTCCCCCGCCGGCCCCCTCCCTCTGCCCCCCTCGACACGGCACGGCCCCCCCCGACACGGGCCCTCCCCCGGCCGGCCCCCTCTCTCTGCCCCCCTCGACACGGGCACGGGCCCCCCCCCCGCCGGCCCCCTCCCTCTGCCCCCCCCGACACGGGCACGGGCCCTCCCCCCCGGCCGGCCCCCTCCCTCTGCCCCCCCCGACACGGGCACGGGCCCTCCCCCCGGCCGGCCCCCTCCCTCTGCCCCCCCCCCGACACGGGCACGGGCCCTCCCCCCGGCCGGCCCCCTCCCTCTGCCCCCCCCCGACACGGGCACGGGCCCTCCCCCGGCCGGCCCCCTCCCTCTGCCCCCCCCGACACGGGCCCTCCCCCCGCCGCCCCCCTCTCCCCCCCCGACACGGGCACGGCCCCCCCCCCCGACATGGGCATGGCCCCACCTCTGTGCCCCTCCCCCGACACGGGCATGGCTAGGGGAGGGGGATCCCCCCCACCTCCGCCCCCCTGGAGAAATGGGCACCAGCCAGGGAAGGGCACCCAGGGGGCGCTGTGAGTTGTGTGGGGCTGGTGGGGCCCAGCCTGGGGTGACCCCACCCACCTCTCATTCAGCCAATGACACACCAGCAAATCAGCATTGTGTCATCACCTCAAACTGCCATTGGCTGGCCTAACCCCCGCCCTTTTCCCTCCATTCAGATGTGATTGGCTGGCCCACTCGAAGCCCCGCCAATCATTGAGGGGGGGATGGGGGGATTGGGGCGGGGCTAGAGGAGGAGCTAAGCCCCGCCCCTGCCCAGCTTGTGCCCCTCCTCCCTGGTCACTAACCTGCTCGCGTGTCTTTTCTCCCTCCAGTCTGCAAGTTCACGGCCCACGAGCGCTGTGCCCGCCGGGCGCCCCTCAGCTGCATCAGCACCTACGCCAAGTCCCGCAAGGACACCAGCGTGAGTGGGGGCAGGGGACCCCCCGTGTCTGTCTGGCCACGTCCCAGCGCGACGGCCCCTGGTCCCCAGAACCATCCTCCCCCCCCAAGTACCTCCCACGTGCTCGCTAGCCCCATCGTACAGACGGGGAAACTGAGGCACAGAGTGCGGCAGGGACTTGCCGCTGATGGGCTGACAGACTCTGGGATTAGAACCCAGGAGTCCTGACTCACAGCCCTCCCCTCACCACCCTCCCAGAGCCGGGAGAGAACCCAGGCATCCTGTCTCCCAGCCCCTGCTGGGCGATGGGAGCGCTCACTGCTGCCCCCCCCCGCTGCCCCCGCAGGCGCAGAGCCACGTGTGGGTGAAGGGCGGCTGCGAGGCCAGCAAGTGCGACAAGTGTCAGAAGAAGATCAAGAGTTTCCAGAGCCTGACGGGGCTGCATTGCGTCTGGTGCCACCTCAAGGTGGGTGCAGCGCCCCCCCCCCCCGGTGCTCCTGCCAGGCACTGGAGGCTGGGGGGCAGCTTCAGGGGAGGTGGGGCCAGGAGTGGTGTGCTGGGCTAACCCCCCGTCTCCCCCAGATCCACGAGGAGTGCCAGCCCAGCGTGCCCCCGACCTGCGACTGTGGGGCCCTGCGGGACCACATCCTGCCCCCTTCGGCCATCTACCCCGTCGTGCTGGTGAGTGAGCCTGTCACGGGGTCCCTGGGCGATGTTCTGGAACTGCTCCCCATGAAGCCGGTCAGGACTCTGGGGCAGTCGCCTTCCTGTGAGCAGCCTGTCTGCAGGACACACAGCTCACCCGGCTCCACCTTCCTGGGTCTGACCTCGGAGCATTCAGCCTCCTCTGCCCCTCTGTGCGCTTCCCCCAGCGAGTCCGCTCAGGCGGGGTCCTGGGGAAGCCAGAGGGTCCTGCCCCCCAACTTCGCAGTCAGACGGGACTCTCAGCCAGCCAGTAAAACAGAGGTTTATTAGATGACAGGAACATGGTCTAAAACAGAGCTTGCAGGTGCAGAGAACAGGACCCCTCAGCTGGGTCCATTTTGGGGAGGGGGGCAGTGAGCCAGACAACCACGTCTGCCCTTGACTCCATGTCCCCACCAGCCCCAAACTGCCTCCCCCTCCAGCCCCCCCTCCTCTGGGCTTTGTTCCTGTCCCGGGCCAGGAGGTCACCTGATTCCTTTGTTCTCCAACCCTTTAGCTCTCACCTTGCAGGGGGGGAAGGGCCCAGGCCATCAGTTGCCAGGAAACAGGGTGTCGGCCATTCTCTGTGTCCAGACTCCTGCACACAGCTGCCCTCTAGGGCTCTGCAACGATCATACACCCTTACCCCACCCCCTAGATACTTAAGAACTTCATAGGGGAAACTGAGGCACCCCCACACTATTCAGAGGAAACATTAAGAACAGTCCCACTTCGTCACATCTCTTCCCCCCCTTCGAGATCGAACTGAGCGGGGTCACTTTAGCCGGTGACCTGGGGAAGTTTGAAGCCACCAACGTTCCCATGGATGCCCCAGCATCTCTCCCATTCCTTGGTAGGAGTTACACCAGGCCCTTCCAGTTTCACGCCCTCCCTTAGGTCGGTGGTGGTCTATAGCACTTGCAGGCCGCATGTGGGAAGGTTTATGCGGCCCGTGCCCTTTGGCCACCCCAAAACCCCAGGGGGTCAAACTGGGATTGGGTCTTCTCCCCAACAAGCTGGCCAAACACAGCCACTTGGTTATGGGACTGTTTAACTTTCTTAACAGCTTTCACTTTATCTGAGACCTTCTCAAAGCTATCCACACTGGATCTTTCAACAGCAAAGTCAGTGGATCCATTCACAACAGAAAATTTCTGGCTGTTAGGAACGGAAACTTTCTTGATTAAATCACTTTCACACCCTTCAGTGGCAGTAAACTGCTTGCAAAGACTCCATGAGGATTCCTTTCCCTAGGGCTTTTCTATGCTACAATTCACCCCTCCCAGAAATTCTGCTCTTACCCTCTTTACCTAGGGCTTGCTCTAGAGGAACACTTTCCTGAGCAACAACAGACTCGTTCTGGGTCTCCCTTACATCCAGAATCACCTCTGGCCCATCCGGTGAATTCCTACACAATCCCCTTTCAGGCAAACTTACAGACTTCCTAGATAAAAGGTCAGAAGCATTCTCCTTCCCTTTGCCACACACAAGTTCAGGAATCTTTTCCTTCTTGCTACGGGTTTCCACACCCTCAGTAGGTAACACAATCACATCACCTTCCTGCTCTCCTTGTGCCCTGGCTGGGATCTCACCCTGATTAGACAGAGTTGCTGCACCCTTTCCAACAACACACTAGCAACAGGCAAAATACACGCACCAGAATTGTCTGGTCTCTGGGATTTTACATAGACACTAACTGGATGCGACCTAGTTACAGGGCCATTCTCCCGAGCAGACACAAACTTAGGACCCTTCCCTTCTTGGGCTTCAGCTGAATCCAGAACCAACTCTGAGACAACTGCACGACCCTCAACCATCACAGGCTGAAAGGCCCCTTCAGTCTGCTCCACAGACAAAGAAGAGCCGGACACACTTTCTCCTCTCCCAGACCCACAGCTTGGGATCTCTTTCCCCTGGTCCCAGCACACAAGGCTGGTCACAGACAACTGCTTGGAGATCAGGGTAGCTCCCTCCACAGGCAAGTCAATACCCCTGACACACACAGGCACGTTTCCTTCACTGTCACAATTCTCCACCCAGCTAACAGGTAAGGTCCAGGGACACTCGTCTTCCACCCTCCTCGCCTTCCCACCCTGCTGACTAGACACAGCCGTCAGCTCACAAGGCTGCCTAGGCTCATCCAAACTTTCCTTACCAAGCACCTTGCCACTCCCCACAGATCCCCTGCCCTGCCTGTGTCTCCCCCCACTCAGCTGGGGTCTTATCTGCCCCGTTGCACAGCACTGCCCTTGCTGTCCCAGTGGGGGCAGGCAGGGAGCTCGCTGCTTTCCTCACAGCATCAGAGCCAGCTGTGAGCCCCTTCTCCAGTGTGCAGGGGGGCGGGGAGCATCTCTCTGTCCCACCCAGCCCCAGGGGTCTGGTTACAGGCAGGCAGGTAGCCTGAGCCTAGCCGCTCCTCCCCCATGCCAGCCAGGTCATCTGCATTTTCACTGACCATTTCCCTCTCCACCGATTGGTTCCCTGGATTCAAATTCAAACCCTCGGCCGTTACAGGAGCAGGGCCTGGATCCTGTCCCAAAGAGACTCAGTCACCCCACAGCAGGGTCTCGCAGCTGGTATCCTGGAGAACCCCAACGACCAGCCAGCCCGACCCCTCCTGGGTCTGCACAGGGATCTGGGCCATAGGCAGGGCGAGGGGCTTCGTCCCTGGGACCCTCACACAGCCCCTCAGCCTCTGAGGCTGCACCACCCGGGGCCTGACACCAGTTCTCTCTGTCCCAGGATCTCGCCATCCCAGGAATGTCTCCCTATTGACCGTCACCTTCCGCTCCCACTGGGGGTCCGAGGGGCCTGGCCCCAGGAGACTCCACACAGACATATAGGCTGGGACCAGGAGTGGGAGCCTGTCCACCTCCCCACCCATCTGGCTGACGGAGTCTACAGCCTTGGGACCCAGCAAGGGAGCTAGACACCGGGGCTTTTCCGCAGGGTCCCCCTGGTTCAAACCTCCAGCCTGCTCAAAGGCAGTGAGGTGGCATCCACATCCCCCCCTCCTTAACCAGCAGCAGCAATTTAGTCTCGAGGTTCCCTGCGGAACTGGCCCCCCGGGGATCTATCCCCACTCACCCCGGGGAGGTCCCCTAGGCCTCTCCGCCCCACCACCGCCAGTTCATGCTGCTGCTGCTTCTGCAGCTCTTTCTTGGGCTCTCGCTGTCTCCCATGGTCCTCTCGCTCTCTCGGACTCAGCTCCAATCCCGTCCGTCTCGATCCCCCGATGGGGAACCCGATCATGAAGACCCTCGTCTCGTCAGGGACAGGAGTCTTGGCGATGCCTGGCTCCCGCTCCAGCTGCTCCCAGATCCTGCTATAGCCCCACTTGGGGTCAGGAATCTGTCCCTGAGTGCGGTCATCCTCCTCCAGCTGCAGGATGAACTGTGCTTTGGTGCACTTTCCAATGCTCAACCCTCTCTTCCTGCACAGGGTTACAATGTCCTTCTTCAGGAGACAGTGACAGGCCCTCACTCCGCTCCTCCCAAGTTGTTGTGGACTCACAGACCTGTGTGCCTTCAGCTCCCCACGGTTTCCAGGGAGAACCCCTAGTGTGCCAGCCCTTCTCAAGGTCACCACCTCTTTGCCAGGATCGAGCTGCAGACTCCTCCGCCCCTGGGACCGCTCGCTGCAATCCCCCGGGGGACCCTGTTACTGCAAAAGTCCTTCTCTCTGATCACACACTTCCAGGAGTTAACCGCCCCCTGAAACCGTCTCTCTCTGAATCTTCAGCACGCCTGGTCCCCGTCAATCCCCCTTCGTTTTACTGCTCCCCAGTCACTTACTGCAGAAAGCGCCGTCCACGGGGTGCAGTACATCCCACCGCTGCCACCAGTTGTCACGGAGTCCCTGGGCGATGCTCTGGAACTGCTCCCCATGAAGCCAGTCAGGACTCTGGGGCAGTCACCTTTCTGTGAGCAGCCTGTCTTCAGGACACACAGCTCACACAGCTTCCACCTTCCTGGGTCTGACCTCGGAGCATTCAGCATCCTCTGCCCTTCCGTGCGCTTCCCCCAGCGAGTCCGCTCAGGCAGGGCTCCTGGGGAAGCCAGAGGGTCCTGCCCCCCAACTTCACAGTCAGACGTGACTCTCAGACAGCCAGTAAAACAGAGGTTTATTAGATGATAGGAACATGGTCTAACACAGAGCTTGTAGGTGCAGAGAACAGGACCCCTCAGCTGGGTCCATTTTGGGGGGGGCAGTGAGCCAGACAACCACGTCTGCCCTTGACTCCATGTCCCAGCCAGCCCCAAACTGAAACTCCCTCCAGCCCCTCCTCCTCTGGGCTTTGTTCCTGTCCTGGGCCAGGAGGTCACCTGATTCCTTTGTTCTCCAACCCTTTAGCTCTCACCTTGCAGGGGGGAAGGGCCCAGGCCATCAGTGGCCAGGAAACAGGGTGTCGGCCATTCTCTGTTTCCAGACCCCTGCACACACCTGCCCTCTAGGGCTCTGCAATGATCATACACCCTTACCCCACCCCCTAGAGACTTAAAAACTGCCTAGGGGAAACTGAGGCACCCCCACACTACTCAGAGGAAACATTAAGAACAGTCCCACTTCGTCACAGAGCCCCCGCCGGGCGTATGGACCAGCCCGGAGCCCCTGGCTAGGGCTTTATGGACCAGTCCAGGTGCCTTTGGGAGGCCTGCCAGGCTGGGGAGTTCCCTGGCCCCACACTGGGGAGAGACCAGAGGCCACCAGCAAGGGGCTCTGTGCCCCATTGGGCTTTGAACCCAAAGGAGCAGCTCCGCCCCTTGAGCCCCACGGAGCCCTGGGGGCTGTTGGTTCCTCTCCCAGGGCTCTGGGCCCCTGCCCCCAGGTGACGCCCTGGCTCTGGGTTCCAGGAGAGGCAGAACAGCCAGAAGAGCGACGGCGGGACCCCGGTGGAGGAGACGCCCCAGCCCTGCACCACGCCCGAGGGCCAGGCGCTGCGGGTGAGTTGGGGGCGACGCCCCGACGGCGCTGCTCTTTGACTGGCACCTGCGGGACGCGGCCACTGGGGGGCAACGAGAGCCCAGTGACCCGAGCAGCCAGGTCGCTTGGCCCAGTAGGGGGCAGCAGCATGTCGGGGGGCTGGGAGGGTGGGAGCTGGCTGGGGGCCCTTGGGACGCTGCGGGGGGAGGCCGTGCCCCAGCCCGGAATAGACCCCGCTAACGGGGCGAGGCCCCACAGCAGGGCCCCGGGCGGGGGTGGGGCCGGGATTTTGAAAAATGAGGGCGTTTATCCCTGCCCAGAATGAGGTAACAACCCCCCCCCACCCCCATTCACCCTGGTCCATACACACAGAGGGCTCTCGCTATTGGCTCATACAGGGCCCAGTGGCTCCCTCTGGTGGCAGACGGTGACCATGCAACTTGGCCACAGCAGCCGGCTCCCCTGGGCAGGTGCTGCTGGACAGAGGGTTTGGTGAACCGTCCGCAGGTTGAGACACCAAGACGTCCACTTCTTCCCACGCTCGCTGTGGCCCCAGCACGCCCAGGCTTTGCCTTGCCCAGCCCCTCGGCACGAGCCGCGGAGCCGCGCTCCGGCCCTGCAGCGGCCGCCGTGGGCGCTCATTTCCTGGAGCCCGTCTGCAGTTTGCTCCGCCCGGCGCCCGTGACTCTCCCGTGTCTCACCCTCTCGTTTCCCCTTTCCCGTGCTCTGTAGATCATCCCCATCCCCGACACCCACCCCCTGCTGGTCTTCGTCAACCCCAAGAGCGGCGGGAAACAGGGGGAGAGGTAAGGGGGGGGGGTCAAGCAGAGGGGGATCTTGGGAGCCAGAACTCCTGGGTTCTATTTCTGTCAGGGCGAGATGTGTGGGGTCTAATGGTTAGACATGGGGCGGGGCCGGGGGAGGCAGGGCTCCTGGGTTCTGTTCCTGACTCTGGAAGGGGAGTAGGGTCCACTGGGTCTGTGCAGAGAACAGGGAGCCAGGACTCCTGGGTTCTCTTCCCACTTCTCTGTGTGACCTTGGGCAAGTCTCTGTCTGTCTGTCTGTGCCTCAGTTTCCCCACCTAATATGATGGGTGGAGGGGTTTGGGAGGGTTGTTCCGAGGTTGCCGGGCAACAGTCTCATTATCGTGATGTCATTGCTCCACCCTGGTCTAAGGGATATGCCCCTGGACAGCCCCCCCCACCTCCCTCCCCATGGTCTAGACTGTGTCGGGGGGGGGGGTGTCCATGGCGATGCCTGGTGTGGGTTCTCGCTCCTGATGCCCCCCCTTGTCTCCACGACCAGGGTGCTCCGGAAGCTCCAGTATCTCCTCAACCCGCGGCAGGTTTACAACCTGATGAAGGGAGGCCCGGCCCCCGGGTGAGTGAGAATTCAGGGGCCCCGGGGCCCTTCGCTGGGGGTCTCGGCCCTGCCCCCTAGTGGACTCTTGCCCACATTGCAACACCACGGGGCAGCTCCACGGCATGAATGGGAGGGGGGTCAAAGGGCATCGGCCGAGGGAGGGGAGTCGGGGAGCCCAGGGCTGGGGTACCAGGGGGCTGCGGGTCGGGAGTGAGGGGCACCGGCAGGGCTGTCGGGGAGCCCAGGGCTGGGGTACCAGGGGGCTGCGGGTCGGGAGTGAGGGGCACCGGCAGGGCTGTCGGGGAGCCCAGGGCTGGGGTACCAGGGGGCTGCGGGTCGGGAGTGAGGGGCACCGGCAGGGCTGTCGGGGAGCCCAGGGCTGGGGTACTAGGGGGCTGCGGGTCGGGAGTGAGGGGCACCGGCAGGGCTGTCGGGGAGCCCAGGGCTGGGGTACCAGGGGGCTGCGGGTCGGGAGTGAGGGGCACCGGCAGGGAGCCCAGGGCAGGTCAGGGGGTAACTAACCCTTGGGGAGGATCTGGCAGGGAATGGGGTGCGGGAATCCGGGCCCCGGCGCTGACCCAGCTCCCTGTCTCTGTTCGCAGGCTGAACTTTTTCCGGGACGTGCCGGATTTCCGGATCCTGGTGTGCGGCGGGGACGGCACCGTGGGGTGGATCCTGGACGCCATCGGTAGGTGGAAGCTGGAGGGGGGAGGGGCAGGAAACGGGGCCCGATTCTTGGCCCGGGCTGGGGCAGGAGCCACTTGGACCCTGCCCTTGGAGGGCCAAGGAGCCCGCCCCCCCGCCGACCGTCCCTCTGTCCTTGCAGATAAAGCCAACCTGCCCGGGCGCCCCGCGGTGGCCGTGCTCCCGCTGGGCACCGGCAACGACCTGGCACGATGCCTGCGCTGGGGAGGAGGTGAGTGACGCCCGGGGGATGGCTGGGCCCGGGGGTCTCCCTAGCCTGGCACCCGCCCCCCAGGAGACCAACGGGCGCGGCCTGCCTAGCTACCCCCCACCCCCCGCTCAGCCCTATGGCCCCATCCAGCCAGGTGCCCCCCTGCCCATCTCTGCCCCCAGCCCCGCTTAGGGAGAGGCGGGGGGGGGCGCCTGGCACTGTCCCCTCCCGCTGAGGCCGTGCCCCCGCCCCCAGGCTACGACGGGGAGAACCTGCGAAAGATCCTGAAGGACATCGAGAGCAGCAGCATCCTGCCCATGGACCGGTGGCTGGTGCAGGTGACCCCCGAGAACCCCGCGGAGAAGGGGGACCCCGTCCCCTACGAGATCATCAACAACTACTTCTCCATCGGCGTGGTACGGCCGGGGGTGGCTGTGGGGTCTGTGCCCTGGCACTGAGGGGGGGGGGGGAGGAGGGTGGCTAGAGCCCAGTATGGGGGGTGCGGTTGTGGGGGGCAGGATGGAGCCCCCAGGATGCGATGGGACTTCTCCCAGTCCCATGCTCCACATGCAGGAGCCTGGCTCGGTGTCACTCCCGTCTGGCCAGCATAGGAACCGCGGGGGGGGGGGGGGGCTGCTGAGCCCCCCCACCCTTGTCCGCGCTGGACTCTGACTGCATCTGTCTCGTCTCCAGGACGCCTCCATCGCTCACCGCTTCCACCTCATGAGGGAGAAGTACCCTGAGAAATTCAACAGCAGGTGTGTGGGGCCGGGGGGGAGACGACGAGGGCAGGCTGGCGGGTAGGGGGTGGGCGGGGCAGGTGGGCATGGCAGGGGCTGGGCTGCCAGCCACGCTGTATCCTCGGGGGTTCCCGGAGGCACGGGGGCCCTGGCCTCCCGTGTGGATCCCGGCTGGGGCGCAGGGAAGCTCGGAGCGGCTGATCCAGCCCTTGGGGAGCCCGTGGGAGGCGGCGACTCTGGGTCCATGGCCTGGGCCTCACCCATCGCACTGGTGACTCCCTGAGATGCCCCCCCCACCCAGCTGAGATGGGCCGGGAGCCAAAGCCAGCACCCTGCCCCCATGGCACCCCCTGCTGGGACGGCAACAGCCGGGCACTCCCCCTGCCCCCCCCTGCCAGTGCCCTGCCTGCCCCCACAACACCCCCTGGTGGGATGGCAACAGCCGGGCGCTCCCCCCCGCCAGTGCCCTGCCCGCCCCCCCTTCCCGGTGCCCCCTGGTGTGGTTTGGTTTGTTCAGTTTTCCACCCGTGGGTTGTGGGGCTGTTTCCTCTCCAGGATGAAGAACAAACTCTGGTATTTAGAATTCGCCACGTCCGAGACCATCTTCGCCACCTGCAAAAAGCTCAAGGAATATCTGACCATTGAGGTGAGGGACGGAGCCCAGCGCTGCCCCCCGCCCCCTGCCCCACGCATGCCCAGGGCCCCCAGCCATCGCCCCCTGCTGGCAGAGCCCAGGGCTGGAGCATGAATTCTCTGCAGGGCGAGCACCGGGTGGCCTCTCTGGGGTGGGAGCTGGTTTACGCAGGTCCCCAGTTGGTAACGAGGGCTCTGCCCCCCCAGTGCTGCGGGCAACCCCTGGACCTGAGTGGAGCCCTCTCGGGGGTCGCCGTCCTCAACATTCCCAGCATGCACGGCGGCTCCAACCTCTGGGGCGAGACCAAGAAGCCGCTGGGCGAGGCCCGGAACAGGGCCACGGGGAGCCAGCCCGAGGCCGTCACCGACCCGGAGATGCTCAAGACCTGCGTGCAAGGTGTGGAGTTGGGGGGCGGGGCCTGCATGCAAGGGGCGGGGCCAGGAGTGCCATGGGGGCAGGTGGGGGGGCAGGTAGTCATCCCGTGGGTGGAATTGGGGGCGGGGCCTCAGGTGGAGCAGAGGTGGGGCCTGCACAGCACCCTATTGGGGGGCTGGGTCCATGAGGCGCTCCCCAGAGCAGGGGCCCACCTGCCACCCCCTGGCCCACGGAGCTGGTTGGGAGGGGGGGAGCTGGGTGTGGGGGCTGGGCTCACTCATCCCCTGGCCCTGGCCCCCCGGCAGCATGGGGGGGCCAGCACTGACGGCCCCTCCCTCCCCCCAGACCTGAGCGACAAGCGGCTGGAAGTGGTGGGGCTGGAAGGCGTGATCGAGATGGGGCAGATCTACACCGGGCTGAAGAGCGCAGGCAAGCGGCTGGCCAAGTGCTCGGAGATCACGCTGCGGTGAGAGCCGGGGGGGGCACCGGGGGCAGAGGGGGTGAGGTTCCCTGGGGGCAGTCAGCCCCCAGGATCTTACGGGAGGCAGGCTTGGCCCTGGGACCCGCCGCGTGTTGGGGAAGATCCCAGCCCCCTGCGGTGGGCAGGGTTGTCGGGGGGGCTCTGTGGGGCTGTCTCACACCGGGGTCTCCGCAGGACCCTGAAGTGCCTGCCCATGCAGATCGACGGGGAGCCCTGGATGCAGCCGCCCTGCACGGTAAGGAGCCGTATGGGGGTCCCCCCCCCCGCACTCCCCCGATCCAGCAGTGGAGATCCGAGCCCTCTGCAGCTTTCCCAGCCCCTGCGAGAGACCTCAATAGACCCCCCCCCCCCGCCCCGCCCGCCCTACCCTGCCAATCCATCTTGGGGCGCGGAGGAAGCCGGGGCCGCCTGGTGTTGGGAGGGGGGCTGGGGGCCAGGGCAGTCGGCTCCGCTACCTACCCCGGGCAGAAAGGGGCCCGTTTGGAGTGGGTGCGGCACCCGGGTGCCCCTCGCCTGCTGGTCGCATGGGGCCAGGGCTAGCAGGTGTTGGGGCGGTTCAGAGCCATGGGGCTGGGGTGCTGGCAGCCACGCGCCCCCCATAGACAGGAGGTGCCATGGAGGGGTAGGTGCATTACTAGGGAACCTGCAGGGTGGGGGTTGTGTGGCTGGAGCTGGGGGAGGGGACGCTTCCCTGCCCACGCCAGACCCCCCCCCCCCCGCGTGTCCTTCCTCCCCCCACTCTCTCTCTCTTTCAGATCAGGATCACGCACAAGAACCAGGCGCGCATGCTCTTGGGCCCGCCCCCCCGCTCCTCCAGCTTCTTCGGCATCAAGAAGGGACCCCATGAGTCATAGGGGGCATAGCTGGGGGCCAAGGATCCCCCCCCGGCCCGGCCACCTTGGCTCTGAGCGGGGAACAGCCCAACTCCAGGGGCGCTGGTGGGTTTGGTTCCTGCCCCGCCCCCCCCCGGTGCAGCCTGGATGTCCTGTATAGACCATCGCGTCATTTTGGGGGTGGGTGTCACGCCTGTGGCCCCGCCCCTGCCCTGCCCAGGCCCCTCTGCTTGCTGTCCGCAGTAGCAAGCGGGGGGCGGGCGGGAGGCCTTGGTCTAATCCCCCACCCCCCGCTGCTGAGAGTGCTGGCCCCCACTGCCCACCCCCTCTTGGGTGTTTCTGCCCCATGGTGCGGAGGAAGGGGGCATCTGTATCTGCCCCTCCTGTGCATCTCTGGCCCTGGCGGGTGGGGTGGGAAGCAGCGTGCTGGGCCCCTGCGTACCCTACATTCCAGCCCCCCTATTTATTGCCCCCACAGTCCAAACTCCCACCCCCCCTTGAGATTTCAAGTGCCTCGTCTTACTAATAAAGGTTGGAGGTTTTTGTTCTCCCCCCCGCCCCATCGTGGTTGCTGTTCTGGGCCCAGACACCCGCCCCCCCGGCCCGGGCCTCAGGCGATGGGCCATGGTTTGGACCCACCCGTCCTGCTGCCCATCCCCTGGGGTCAGAGGCAGCGCCATTCAGGGGAGGGGGCTGGGCTCTAGGGCTCAGAGCACAGTGTCACAGGACACCTGGGTTCCTACTCCCAGTTCTGGGGGGGGGAGGCGAGGTCTGCACAAGGTTCCAGGACGCCTGGGTTCTATTCTAGTGATTGCAGGCACATCCCTGCCCCCTGCTGGAGGTGAGTGCGGAGCCGGACCTATAAGGCGGGGTGGGGGGAGCTGACTCCTGACTATCCCATACCCCCTTCCCCCCCTGCACAGCCAGCCCTGCCCCCCCAGGATTCACCCAGCACCTTCCCTGGCAGGGACAGAACCAAGCAGACGCGGGCAGGAGTCTGAGTGTTTAATAGCTGATAAGGACGAGGGCACCTGAAACCCCCCCCCCCCCCGCAGGGTGCCAGCTGGAGCAGGGAGGGCTCCCTCCTTCCCCCCGTGCTGGGGGGGCAGGGAGCAGTGCAGCTCTGGGGCTGGGTGGGTCGGGCATCCCCAGCCCCCCCCCCCGAATGGCAGGAGCGGGGGCAGGGCCCTTTCGGGGGGCGTCACTGGCTCTAGACCACGTTGCCTCTGAGCAGGGGGCTGCTTTCGCCGGTGGGCACGGTGCTGAAGGCCTGGCGCAGGAAGAGACGCAGGGCGGCGCGGTCAGGTAGCCAGGCCCGGGGCAGAGGGCTGCGGGCGGGGCCTGCGGGCAGGGGTCTGTACTTCACACGCCTGCCAAGGGGCAAAAAGAGAGGGGGGGTGTCATACCTGGCCAGCTGGGGCCCAGGGCTGCCCCCCCCCCAAAAAAACCCCCACCAGCTGGGGCCTGGCTCCCCAGAGGGCAGCCCACAAAGCAGGAAGCTGGGTTAGCCCAAATTCTGCCACTGATGCACTGTGCCTCAGTTTCCCTCCCATAACTGGGAGCTCATAACCCTCCCTTTGAGCAGCGGGGAAGCTCTTCGGGGCTGCGCCTGGTGCAATGGGGCCCTGATCTCGGCCCGGGGATGCTGGGCAGCCCGGTGCTGCTGGCCTGTAAAGCTGGGTTGGGCTCTGGGGTGGCTCCGTTTGGCACCCCGGCTCTGGGAGCAGCGGGGCCTAGCGCAGCCCCGGTGTCTGAAGCGGGTGGGGGCTGGTCTCACCTGTAGGCGTAGGACACGGTGCCCAGGGCCACGGCCACCAGCATGAGCCCCACGATGAGTGTGATCCGGGGCGCGGCGGGCTCGGCACCTGCAGGGCACAGACACGGGCAGCGGTGAGGTGGGGCTGGGGCTGCACCCAGCAGGACGGGGCCAGCCAGCCTCTCCGTTACCCCTCTCCGGGCTGGGGTGTCTTGGAGACGGCTGGGCCCCAAACTCCCCAGAGCTCGCGGGGGCTGGCTCAGGCCCCGCGAACAGCTCAGTGTGCAGCTGTGAGGGGGTCGCCCCGCCCTGCACAGCCCCCCACCCCTGCAAACCCAGCCCCTACCTCGGATGCTGACTTGGGTGCTGGCGACGGCCAGGCTGGCGGGGTTGGCCAGCGAGACGTTGAGGCAGTAGAGGCCGCTCTGGTTGAAGGCCTGGCGCAGCACCAGCTGGCAGGCGGGTGCCGGGGGCACGGGGGTGCAGACACTCTGCTGGGGCGTGAGGCACGTGGGGTCCAAGACGGTGGTGCAGACCTCTTCTGGCAGGCTGGGGGCGTGGGGGGAGAGGGCAGGTAAAGCGTGGCCACGGGGGCGGGCGGGTGGGTGGGGGGCACCCGCAGGAGGCGGGATGGGCCAAGTGCCCCTGGGAGCCAGGCTCGGCAGGCGTGGGGACGGGATGATGCTGGGGGTGGCTTGGCCCAGGGGATCTCCCCCAGCACGTGGCGGAGCAGAGCCCGGCTTCGAGGTTCTGCTGCAGGCCCCGGGGTGGGGGTGGGGGGATTGGGGCATGAAGCCACCCCGCCAGCAGGAGCCATGCCCGTCCCGAGGCCGCCCCCCTGGTGCCCCCTACCTCCCCTGGCAGGTCACGGTGAGCTCCACGGCGCTCTCGCCCACCGCCGGGGCCACCTGGACGATCTCCATGCTCTCGATCCCCTCTGCAACGGGCAGGCGTTAGGGGGGGCATGCGCAGCCGGGCCCTGCCCCGAGACTGTCCCCCACCCAGCCATGGCCACCCCGGGAACCAGCCTGCCCCCTCCAACCTGCTCCCATGGAAATGGCCCAGCAGAGGGGCCGGGGGCTGGCCCAGAGCCTAGTGTCCATCGCTCTGGTCCAGATACAGGGGCTGGAATGGGAACGGCTGGGGGGCTCCCTGCACTGTGCCCCATTCCCAACCACATGGGGGGGCAGGGCAGCCCCCCCAGTCAGGGTGAATCTCAGGCCAGGCCTTAGTGCAGACTAACCCCCAGGGACCAGGGAGCCCCCGGATTTCACCAGCCGGCCCCTGCCCCGAGCCCAGCCAGGCTAGGATGGCCCCTCCCAGGCCCGGAGCTTTGCAGCTTGACACCGCCTGCGGCCGGACTGAGCCGGCTGCGGTGGAGGACGCCCCCCATTGCTCGGGGCCAGGGGCTCGCTGGGACCCCGGGCTGGGGGCAGCCCCCCGAGCGCAGGCCACGCCACGCCCCCAACTCACGGACGATCTCCAGCTCTGTCGAGAAGGTGCCGTATCGGTACAGGACGCAGCCGGCGGGCGCCTGCCGCTTGGCCAGGACAAGAACCTCAGGGGTGGCAGGATCCGCGGTGCCAACAGCCACGTCTGCGGGGAGATAAGGGGCTGAGAGAAGGGAGACCCCCCCGGGACCGGCCCTGCCCACCCGGTGCGACCCCTGGGTCACGGCCACCCCGCCCGGGGGACGCCCAACGTTGTCCAGCTCTCGCCCATGTTGACATGTTGGCAGCTGGGCCTGGGACCACGCTGCCCCCCCAGGCCAGGCACAGCCGCGACCTGCTGCCTTCCACCCCCTGGGCCCCCGTGGCGCTTGGAACCACAGCCAGGGCCCCATATCAGGCTGAGCCGAGCCTCCCTGGTCTGGGCTGGGCGCTGACCAGTGTCAATCCCCAGGCAGCCCGGGCAAGGACCCTGCCCCCCGCAAACTGAAATCGGGCCCAAGCTGGACCCCTGAAATCATTGGGGGGCAGGGGGGTCTTTTGGGTCAGCCCCGTGGGACCCCACCTATACAAGGTGAGCACCCACCTGCTGCTTCCAAGCTAGTGTTGGCCACGATTCCTGCCACGCTGGCCGGCGGGTTGGCCCCGGAGGACGCAGATGCTGGTGGCGAGGTGCCCGGCGGGTTGGCCCCGGAGGACGCAGTCGTAGGTGGCGAGGTGCCCGGCGGGTTGGCCACGGAGGACGCAGCCATAGGTGGCGAGGTGCCCGGCGGGTTGGCCACGGAGGACGCAGTCGTAGGTGGCGAGGTGCCCGGCGGGTCTCCAGCGGCAGAGACGGAGGCAGGGAGTGGCGGATCCGCAGAAGCCACAGCCAGGTCTGAGCCGGCGGCGCCGACAGTGACCACGGACCCAGGTGCCACGGCGGGCCCGGTGCTGGTTTCCAAGGCAGGGGTGGGAGCTGTGGTACCGCCAGCAGCCGAGGTCACAGCACCGGGCAGGGTGGCACCCGTGCCGGGCACCACGGGGCTGGGAGGGACGGAGGCTGTGCCTGCCGTGGGCGTCACTGGCTCGGCCGTGGCGGTGGGCACTGTGGGCAGAGAGCACGAGAGCTGCAGCCGGTTCCGGGCTGGCACCCGCAGCCCAGCCCAGGGACACGTCCACCACTTACCGACGCTCAGCGGCTGGCCCGGTGTCTGCGTGGGGCTCCCGCTGGGCGCCAGGCTGGCTGGAGCCGAGGTGGAGGTGGGCTGCCCTGGGGGGACCGTGGTGGGGTCCACGACCGGTGCTGGTGAGGTGATGCCGCAGGCCACGGGGATGGCAGCCTGGAGCACCACGCGGGGCCGGAAGGTGCCAGGCTCCAGGTAGGTGTGGGTGACGGTGCGGACGCGGGAGAGGAGGGTGCCGCTCTGGTCCCCGAAGTCCCAGGAGTAGGAGACGTCGGCGGCCTGCAGGTAGTGGCTGGGGTCGTGCAGCCGGACGCTGAAGGCCACGGCCCGGTTCCGCACGAAGCGCCGGTCGCCCCCGTCCACGTCCAGCACCTGGGCGATGTCCACCGCGAAGGGCACCTGGTCTGGGGAGTGGGGGTCAGGGAGGCTCCAGGCCTTTATGGAAGGGCCCCCCTGCCCCTGCAGACCCGGGGGCCCCCTGCTCCCTGGAGCCCCACAGACCTGGTGCCTCCCTGCCCCCAAGGACCCTGGGATCCCCCTGCCCCCACAGACCCTGCCCCCTGGAGCCCCACAGATCCCAGGGCCCACTGCCCCCACAGACCTGGAGCTCCACAGACCTGGTGCCTCGCTGCCCCCACCGGCCCAGGGCCCCCTGCCCAGGTTCAGGTGCACACAGGGCTCCTAGGACCTGCTCCGTGCCCCAGTAACGCCCCCCCGACCTGCCCGGGGAGCTGCTCTGGGGCAGGGGGTGAGCAGAGCCACCGGAGCGAGGCCGTGGCCACGGGATGGGGCAGGGAGGTGGAGGAGGAAGGGGGCCAAATGGAGCCTGCGGTGCCCAAGCCGCCTGGTGACGCATGTGAAACCCGTCCAGGCCCCCCCGCCCAGCAGCCCCCGGCCGGTCGGTCACCCCCCAGCCCTGCCCGGGCCTCACCCGTGATGCTGAACTGGGACGTGGCCCTGCCCATGGGGATGAACTTGCGGCGCCCCCGGTAGTGATAGACCTGGACGTCCATGGCGTAGGAGCCCAGGGCCACGCCGTCCGTCTCCACCGTCAGGAGCGAGGAGGGGCCGTCTACCACCTGCCAGTACTGCCCTGTGGGGGGCAGGGGGAAGGTCAGGGTGCAGCCCAGGGAGGGAGCAGGGGGTGCAGAGCTGTGGGGGCCGGGGCACAGAGACTCCAG